AAATACTCAAATCTGTTTGCTTAGATTTCTGTCTAGAAAATTAGCTCTGTTAGTTCTGTTATTTAATAGTGTCTATTTTTGCAGTAATTCACTATCTGCTTGCCTAGTACTCCTAGAAGTCAAACCTTCCGTTTGCTTGTTTAGCAAGCCACAGTTGGAAGAAAGAACCACTGGTGATTGATCTGGGTAAATAATAGCTGGCAAAATTGTGTTGAAAAGATTTTTTCGTTTCTGATAACTTCTGAGCCCTTGCTCTTCTAATCTAGGCCGCAGTACAGTCATAGGCGGATCCAGAATGGCCTCCTCGGAGGGAGGGGGCGAACAGTGGGGCTTCTGTTGGTGATGAGCGAAGGGGGGACTGGTGGGGCTTCCGAGGGCTTTCGCCCCGCTCCCCCTGGATGAGCCAATGAGTACAGCAGTTATTGTGGGAATATGATATTGGCCATTTTATTAGGATTCACGGGATTGATCGAGTTTTCTTCGGTTGTGAGGAACGTGTCCCCAAATTGTTCTCATCGCGTAATCGAGTTCTCTTCGCTAAGTCAGAAAACAGAGGAAGTTTGTTTTTTGGTTTCAAAGTAAAAAGATGCGGTGAAATTTAAGTTAACACCGCAACAAGATCTTCCGCTCGAAAGTTCTTCCCCCAAGACTTGCGTGAAAAAGCAGTCTTTGAGCAGTTTGACTGCCTGATTTGCCGGTTAAGTTTATTTTCAGGTATGGTGGAACCCATAGCAGCATTGGCCGGTGCAGCAGCAGTGATACTGATGGAACCAGTGCTTCCGTATGCGCTGAGTTTTGCTGCAGGTGCGATGATCTATGTTGTTATGGACGATATCATTCCAGAAGCGCAGCGTAACGGTAATGGCAAGCTGGCATCATTAGGTGCAATTGCCGGTTTCTTGATAATGATGTCGTTGGATGTTGGTTTGGGTACATAATCTGTGTGTCTTCTAGAATAATCTTTTGTCTCACAGGTCCAGTTTTTTCACTTTTTTTAGGAATTTATGACAATTTTAGGCAAATAACTTAAGGCAAAGCTGATGGAAGTCAGTGATAAGTGTGGAATATATTTTCCTCTACAAGGATTTATAGTTGAGCAGTTATTTTGATAAGCTGTTGTTTCATCACTGCTGTAACTCACAGTTCGTCTGAGGTTGCTCTAAGCAAAACAGGAGAAGTAAATTCAGTTTTCATTCCTTTTTCTGACAAAAATTTGCTGAACATTTGATTTTTAGCACACTTTGTTTCGATACCTTACTTATTTCGGTTCCCAGTAGGAGATATATGAGGAATTTCAAGAACAGCAATGTACGCGTACTGGGAATGCATTAGTTAGCCACGTAATTTCCATGTCAAATTTAGGTTAACTAAACAATATTTAGGTAAAATCAACCCAGTTAAGGGTTGAAAGACAGGCTGCTATACGATATTCATTCGTTTATATGATAATTAGATCGACTCCTTATCTCTAATCCTAATATTTAAGTTCAACTACTTCACTCAGATCTTTTTTTGAAGAGAATCTCTCTATCTCTTTCATGCCCTTCCTGGCCTTTTTTTTTGAGAATGATAAGCTTAAAAGTGGACGGTCCAAAAAAGTGAAAAATTTGGAACAGTCGGAGTAGGTTAAGACAAAGGATGAGGCAAAATTGACAAAATAATTTGCGGCCATTGGTAGGCTGAACCGTAATCTCTGAAACAAGCGGGCATCTCTGATTTATCAGTTAGATGCAGTCCTAAACAGAGTAGCGATACTTGCAGTCTTATTGTGGCTATTGAATGTCTTGGCCCAGACGGATCATATGTATTAACGATCTGTCATGGGAGCACTTTGCATCTTCTTTGTTATTTGAAGTACTGTTGTTTATTCATTTACAGTTTTCAGAAAGGTTGTGTGGGTTGCAATCCGCGTCGGGCTTCTCTTGCCTTTTTATTTTAAAACTTTCTTTTTGCTACCTCTCAACTGCGGACGATAATTCTTACTAAAAATGGCTTTTCAGACTCACATTTGTCTACTGTTCGAATTTATCTATGGTTTCTTGTCCTGTATTTTTATTAGTATTTATTTCTTGCTCACAGTTTTGATACAATAGCAAGCAAGTGACGATTTTTCTCAGGCTTAGGCTTACGATTCAAATTAGCCAATTGAAAAACCGGCTCCTACGGACGCTAATGATTCGTTCAATAACAAATTAGTGCTGGTTTAGTCTTAATTGATGGCTACAGGCAAATCTCAGGTTCGTAAAGTCCAAACCTTGTGCAAATGGGATGAAGAAAGTTCATTGTTTTGATGATGCGGTTCAGGGTACACGTCATCACTTGTTCCAAGTTTTCAATTTGGTGGCATAAAAAAGGTGTAATTTCCAGTAGTATAAATCTAGCACTTTGACTATGGATAATGGATGAAACATGGAATATGAGTTTTGCTGAAGGGCAGATGTTAGTGGGCCATTGAACTGTGAAGTGTCGCATGGAAGGTTTCAGCAAGTTGCAGCGTATTTCCATTGAAGTACTGCGGTTTCAGTCAGATTTGAACTGCTAAATTATCAAGGTATTACATCAGGCTGAATTTAATCCATACAAGGTTGAAAGAATAGATAGGAAGCCATTAGTGCGTTGGAAGGATTCGTTTGAACAGCTGTATGGAATCGCATGGATGAAAGAGCATTTCTGTGTAAAAAAATTAAGTGAATCATGGGGGAGAGGAATGGTTTTGATATTTTATGACTTTTGATATTGTATGCCTGTCTTTAGAGCTGTGCACAACTACTTACACCACTCTCCGTCACGAGCTGTGCTTGAGATTCGTATACTTTTTTCGGGAGAGAAAGTGCTGTGTTTTCTAAACAGTTATATTGATTTTTATGTAAGTTGTTGAAATGCTGAAACAATGAGGAACGAGTTCTTTTTTTCGTTGTTTCTGATCATAAGTTATTTCTGTTGGACTTTTTACATTGTTATTATCATTCTCTTTGCATAACTGATTTGCATGTTGTAGATTTCTGTTATGTCCGAATATTTCAAATTCATTGGTTGATACATGAATCGGTTTCATAACGGATTGTTATTGGTTTCAATATCAGATTGCGTTATTTATTTCAGGAGCATTGGCACTGTCCGATAATCATTCATTCTTTTTTAGCCACAGTTGTCGTATTGTACATAATTTTCCAGAAATACTTGGGGCTAATGCATTGGACAAAAT